GCGCATAAACTCCACGATGAAGTCAAGCGAAAATGGGCTCAATGCGTGGGCGTTGTCCTTTAGGGTTGATTGCCTATTTTTTGCTCCTTTTTTTGTTCTTTGGTGATTTTCTACCACTTGTGGCTATTGTTTAGAGTAAAGAGAGTTGTGCCAACGAATTTCCGTTTGTTTTTACAGCCGGGAAAAGGAAATGAAGTGAAGCAAATGCGAATGGGAATGCGAATGGGAATGGGAATTGCGAATGCTGGCCAAATATAATTCGCACTTGACTTTTGGCTTACGGCACAAAATGGGATTCTAGTATGTGTGTGTGTGTGTGCGTGTTTTATATAAATAAACAAGAAATTATGTGGCAAAATAGTTGTCCACTGCAGACGCTCTTTAGCTATTTATAGCCGACGTGTTATTTATTTAGACTGCCGTTGCTGCTTGCTTTAATATTTAATTGGAAAAACTCGCGCCTCAATGTCGTCATTCGACTATAAAAATAAATACAGCGCATCGAGCATACGCCGCGTCGTCCGGCAATCTAAATCACAGACAAAGCGCAGAGCATTGACGTTGATATTTTTAAGTTGGCCGCCGAAGTTCTCTTGACGTCTATTTCAGATTTCCATTTGTTTGCACCCATTTAGCAATTAAATTTTTATGAGCGTTCGAGAAATCCTGTGGGCAAACATTTCGTTTACCCTTTAGTTGCGCCTCAATAACTTGACCTTAGTCTTGGGCAATAATTGACGTATATATTCGTTTTAATTATTTGTACTTGTCTGCTATCTGTGTTGCTCGTTATTCTTCTCTTCTTCTTATTGTTCTTCTTGTTGTTGCTGAAGTCTGCAGCATCTTTTGAAGTATTTTTTTTCTGGTTCTTCGCTTGGGGTTTTGTCTGCGAAATGTTTGCCGCGGCAACATTTCATTTGGCCAATTTAGAGTTAATATGAAAAACCCCTAATTACGAATTCCAAGCGAAAAGGAAAAAAATATATACAAATAAAAAGGTTGGCCCCGAACCCAAATATCTATTGAATTCAATGTAATATTGGTGCTCATTCAAGCTTAAAGCAGATAAAATTAGGCAAGAGCTCAGTTACAGGTAATAATTGGCCAAGAAGCCAAAAGGTATTTGTATACCCTGCGGGGGAAAGCTGATAGGCAGAGGGTATGTTGAGTAACATGGGTCATATGATACAATGATGTAGCTCGGGTTAGGTAAATTGACCTTGGGGTATACCTTAATTTTGTAGGCTTGAATAAAATAAATTATTGAACAAATGAAAAGATAAATAAAATGAGTAAAAGTTTGTTAAGAGCTTTCATTTTAAAGAAACTATAAGCCATATAAAATATGTTTAATATTATAATCAAAGACATCGAGGCTTGCTTTTCTGGCTAGATAGAGTTATAAAAATTATACAAAATATTCCCTTCAGTCTCTTAAGCTCTGGACATAGGATATGCCTTGGTGTAACAATTTCGACCCAATTAAATCATTTCCCATTTTTTTTGGTTGCTGCTGCCTCTTTAATCAATAATTCAGCTGCGACTGAATTTCAATTTGCTGTCTCACAACCATACGGGCTCAACTTCAGAGCCTCTCCTTCATACAGACCCGACAAAAAAAAAAAAAAAAAAGCAGAGAAGGAGCAAAAAGAGAGCAAAACTTCGGACTGACCCAAATAGAATCAACAAATGTTGCTTAAAGTGCTGATGGAATGCTTGGACCATAAAACTTTGTCAATATTTCCGCAGCGTGCGCATCGTTGACTGCGGTCTCTGGGTGTGAGTAAATTTCTGGTCGAATTTAGTGGAGGCTGACACTTTAAGGCAAACAGCTGCGTCTAGTTAATAGGGGGCAGCGTTTAATGTGATTTGAGAGACTTAAATCTACAAAGGTCTACACTTTGTTAAATTGGGTAAAAGATGGCACGGGAGGTGAGAGTGGTGGAGCTGGAGCTGGGGCTGGAGCTGGGTAGCAGCTACTCCTTGTTTAAGGCGTCGCGTTCGACTTCAAAGCAACATTTTACACATAAATCAATTTGCAAAATGTATTTTTCAGCATTAAGCTCAAGTTACAGACCCTAACACCTGCAGGAGCTGTCACCTACATACCCAAAAAAAAAAATAATAAAATAAAAGCAACAACAACTTTAAAGAGGCCAACAAAAAGTCTTTTGTTGTTGTTGTCGGTGTCGTTTGTCATTTTGGAACTCGATTTGCAGTGTACCCTGGCTCCAGGGCTTAGGCCTGCTGCTCCTGGCCTCCACCCACTGCCCTCTACCCCTTCTGCTCGCCGAGGACCCCCCTCTCTTGTAACTTTTAACAGGCTCGCTAATTTCCACTCATTATGCGCTTAATTATGGCGCCTCTTGACAAAAGTCGTTGCGTGCTTTCAGGCGTTTTTGTTTTTTCGTTTGTATTTGAGCCCTTTCTGTTCGCAATTTATGCACTTACCTAACTCACACCATCCCGGCGAGCCTTTGCTTCATCTTCTTCTGCTTGTATTTAACATAATTATTTGTATATTCAATTATGTACAATAAATCTAGTTGAAGTCTGTGCAAATAGCTGCCGTTGACATTGCTTTAAATTCGATATGAAATTCACTTGATTCGATTTCCCTTTAGCATTCTTTACAGTTATATTGCATCAAGCTTTGGTCTCATCGTTGACCATGCCCCCTTCACTCTGCCCGCCTTCCACTAGTTGCTTCTTCCCCTGCGGCTGTCGAACGAACACAAATAAAATCAGTCGCTGGCAGTTTGGCTTTTAATCGAGTTGAACGTAAAATGCAAATAGTAGAAACAAAATTAAATCAAACAATTTCAATCGTGTGTTATACACAGTATATATACTAAATAAAATAAATAAATATATATATGAATCATGCTTTGCCAGGCGTAAGCGAATGAAACGTGTCAAATAAACTATTATGTATGTATATGTATATATACGTTGCATTGTAATCAACAATAACTGAGTGAGTGAAGAAGAGTGAGAGAGAGATGAGTTGTAAAAAAAGAGAGAGAGAGAGAGAAAATTAGAGGGAGTGAGAGAGAGAGAGAGAGAGGAAGGTGGGTAATTAAATAAAGAGAGAAAAGTACAGAGACAGAGAGATACTTGCGAAGAGAGCGAGAGGTGGGGAGAGAGAGAGAGAGAGAGAGAGATATTATAAATAGATAGTGAGAGAATGGGTTTGAGAGAGAGAGAGAGAGAGTGAGAGAGAGATATTATAAATAAATAGTGAGAGAATGGGTTTGAGAGAGAGAGAGAAAGAGAGAGAGATTATAAATAGATAGTGAGATAATGGGCTTGAGAGAGCGAGAAAGAATGCAAGCGACTTTGAAAGAGATAGCAACAGCAGAAATGTTTCTCCAAAGTCAGAGAGGAAGAACGAGACAAAGAGTTAGATTAGAGAATATAACTGAGTATGAGACTTTCATGTGAGTCGCGCCCGCCTTGCAGACCCTATGCAGTGCCCTTCCATGCGATTCTCAAGAATTCAAGTGACCCTTGCTGATCTTGATGTATTTTCCCTACTGTGGCTGACAATGTGTGTGTGTGTGTGCTAAAAGTGTGTCAGACACTATGCAGTGCCCTTCCATGCGATTCTCAAGAATTCAAGTGCTGATCTTGATGTATTTTCCCTACTGTGACTGACAATGTGTGTGTGTGTGTGTGTGCTAAAAGTGTAGACAGTGAAAAGTGAAGAACTTAAAAGCAATTATAGTATTAAATTCTATTGAACAATATTTATTAAAATATGCACATCATATTGTTTTCATTGCAAGTTAGCTGTTCCGTATGCATTATTTATATTCATTGCATATCCAATGTCAAGCTGGAAAAAAAAAAAAAATATATATATATATATAAAAGCTAATCTAGCGTCTGTCGTGGTATCGCACATGAATGTTGGATTACAGCTTGGCAAATTGAAAAACTTGCTGACTGCAAAGTTTGCTGCGTGCCCCAGCGAAGATATTTTGCACACAAAAGCAAAGCGTATTGCAGTTGCAGCAGCTGTTGCTGCAGCAGCTGTGCAGCACCTGAGTGGGCTGAAGCCAGCGAGATGTATAGAAAAAAGGAAAAGGAAAGAAGCGCAGTCACGGTCAAGGAGACGACGTCAGCTGGGATTGTTGAAGTTTATTTGAGTTGGGTGACCAGCAGAGAATTGTTTATTACGCGGGTTTGCGTGCAATTAACGCCGCGCAATACTTGAAAACCGTTGACCCTACTTTTACCCAACTCAAATTCGCGCACTCGATATGGCCATTAGCCATGACATGCCTGTCCTGTCGTCCTGCAAATATTAGCCAACATTTCGAGTGCAAACAGAGTGCGTAAGCGGACCACAGTCACATCATCAGGGTCCACAACTGAGCCATATGCTAATGGTGTCCAGACATAATTCGAAATATCATTAGCGCTTTGCTATATTTGTGCGCTTCTATATACATATATATGTATATATATAATAGGCTTTAAACAAACAGTGTACACAGCTAATTAGGATGGCATAAGGGAGATGTTGGAATATGTTTGTAATTGCTATTGTATATGATGGATATGATGAAAGCAGTGAAACATATGGCTCGAGTCATGTTGTGAACCAATATTTTTTCCCCTAAATATGCCTTAAGCTGTTGGCTTTAAGATTGATTTTATCGTTATAATATGTATGTTTGTGGTTTAAATTGAAGTGGAATACAAGCCTGAGCACATTTACCTCTTTTTTGGGAATCAATTAACAATATTTTTATTTTTAAAAAAATTCTAGAAAAATAATTTTTTTGAAATTACATATGTATTTAAGGTATACAGATTTTATATTTATAGTTTGCCATTTTCCTTTGCACCATCTAGCCTTTCATTAATCATTTTCTATTCTAACTAGAAAAAAAAATCCATAAATAATCTTCAAATTTTATCTTTAATATACATATTTTAGTTTTCTTATTATTTTTATCTTGCAAAATAAGGGCAGTGAATTTATTTTCTCAACTGCTTCACAATTTAAAACAAAGTCTTAACTTTTGCTGCGAAACGGTTTATTCAAAATGAGCACTTGCTTAATCACAATTCGTGCTCGGGAAATTCAAATTTGCCCAGTTGTTGCACAATGTCACGTAGTTTTTCCACCCCGCGTTGATTCACTTCGTAAGCATCCAATTGCTGCATTGTGGCGAACCAGCGCTGTAGTTGCGGCCAACGCTCCGCTTCCACCGGAAACATGAGATGCACCGTGCTCAATGTGGTCACAATGGATACATCGGCGAGTGTCAGCTGTAAAAGCCAACATGCGACTGAATGCAATTAAGACAAAAAGAAGGGGAATTGAATGCTTGTTGTTGTTGTTGTGTTGGCTAACCTGATCGCCTGCCATGTATTTCTGGCCATCCAGATAGCGCTCCATGATGTCGTATGCCTCATGGAGCTTGCGTCTATGATAATTCACATCCACATTGGCGTACTGCTTGCGTACGATTTCCGACTGGCGCATGGGATAGAGGCAAAAGGGTATTTGGTAAATATCATAGCTTACAATTAACGCGACGGCTAAGCACCATTAAATCACTGTCACGGCGAAAGAGGAAGGAGCACTCAAAGAACAGGCGATTAAACACCTTCATTCTGTCTGCATATTCCTTGGGCCACCATTTGCCAGCTTCATCAAAATGCTCCGCCAAATGGATGAGTATAACATGACTATCGGTGAGTAGTAGTTCATTATGCACAAGCGTCGGAACGCTATGCTGTGGATTTAACTAGAGGATAGATAATTAGTATTCCGCTATGCATTCATTTTGCATACACTCACGGCCAAGAAGTCTTTGTCAAATTGTGCGCCCTTGAATAGGTCAACGAAACGCAGCTCGACATTGATATTCAGCATTTTGATCAGCATCAGACAGCTGCGTACGGGTGGACTGCGATCATCGTAATATAGGATCGGTGCAGACATAATAAAAAAGAAAACCGAAGGCCAGATAAACTGAAAAGTAAACGAAGACGAGCAGAACTCACAAACGACTGAAATACAAGACGATCTGAGCTGCTCTTGAATGTAGAGATCTGCGATAAGTTAAGAAGAGACTGTGAGAGAGAGCGTGAGAGAGTAAAAGAATGACCAGCGAGCGCTTTGATCTCGAACTTGAAATCGATTAAAATAATTTAAAATAAGAATATATTTAGTGTGAATTTAATAATTTACTTTCTCAATAAACATAACATATTTATTCTTGAAATTTATTTAACTTTATTTATAATTATAATTAAACTTAAAACAATGCATCGACTGTGATTGTTTGAATTTCATTTACGCGCGCCGTGTGGAGCAACATTTCTAAGCCACCACAAGTTTAACGATATTTCTATCGATATACAGCTTTAGTCAGCCACCTTAATCAGCTGTTGCGTGTTCTACAATTATCGCACTTCGGTCACATTGCTCCTACTGTGCTAGCAAATAATATTTGTTAATTGAAAATTAATTTTTATAACTAAAAGTGTTAAGCTATCACATCCCACATCTAAGAAATATGTACCTTACACGCCAGTTAAGACAGCTGCCCCGGTCCAGGCTTACGCGCCACATTGCCAGCGGTAATGGCCCACATTACACAACCGCAGCGCCGCAACCGGCTGCGGAGCACATTGAAATTCCAAAGCGCATTGAGCGATCGCCGACAGATCTGCTGCAGGCGTTGGCCAGCACAGTGGGACGTGATGCAACGGCACCGCACTATAAATATCACGACGATCCCTTTCTGATACCCATGTCGAACATCACCAAGCGAACATATGCTCTATCGAAGGAGGCTGGACGGAAGGCAGCAAATTGGATCAAAGAGGAACATCGCGAGCTCTTTATGGTAAGTGTTTCACTTGAGTTGAATGGAATACTTAGAAATGTTTTACCGACCTCGTAGCACCAAGAAGCCCAACCACCCATTGAAAAATTTGCCCCTTCCATGGTCTTCACGGAAGAATCGGAAGTGGATGCGAGCTCACTGCAGCTGCTCGTCTCACAAGGTGAGCTGAAGGATGCAGTGCTAGTGTATAATCTATTGGTACAAAAGGGCATTGAGGTCAGTGATGCCTTGAAACAGAGTCTATTAGAGCTGGTTTGCTTCTACAACAACGAAGAGCCGTTACCAGAGGAATATATTGAGGAGCGTTGGTTTATGCAGAACAGTCGTCGACGTGAACGACATGGCAAGACGTGGAAGGATGGTGAATTAGCTGAGAAACTCTATGCAGCAATTGAGCCAAAGACGCCACAATCTTATGCAGCACTCATACGTGGTATGGCCAAATATTTGCAGTGTGAGCGTGCATATGCGCTGCTCCAAGAAGCCAATGAGAAGCGTATCCAGCTGGATACAAATACATATAATGCCATCATACAGATTGTGAGCTTCATCAAGGATACAGCCGAACAACGCTGGCAGATGTGCACGTCGCTACTCAATCAAATGGCCGAACAGCAGCTGAAACCCAATCTGGGTACCTTGAATGCGGTACTGGAGTGCATCAGCACATTTGGAAACTTCAAATTGGCCCGCAGCTCAGCCCTGAAGGTGCTTCCAGAATTTAAGCAACTGGGAATTGTGCCTAGCCTAGGCTCCTATTACTACCTTTTGATTATATTCTGCCGAGAACGTGCACCCGTCTCACACGTCATCATAGACATCCTGAATGATATTAACGGCAAAGAGTTCAAGGTGGAGCATCCGAAGGACACGTACTTCTTTGCCACGGCTATGGATGTGTGCCGCAATCACTTGCACGACAAAGCTCTGGCAAAGAGGGTGGATGAACTGCTGCACACTGGCAACAACTATGATCTGATAGGTGACTCCTTTAAGGAGGGTATTTATTATCGCAATTACCTAGCGCTGCTCTGTCAGACCGAGTCCATTGAAGACTTCATGCGCACCTACGATATACTGGTGCCCAACATCTACATACCCGAGCCAGGTATCATGGAAGAAATCTTGCGAGCTATCGAAATCAATGGAGCTGTAGAACACGTGCCTCGCATCTGGTCAGACATGGTCATTTTCGATCACACTCATCGCGAGAGTCTGTTGCTTTACGTCCTACGCATTATGGTTGACAATCGCCCAAATCCGGAGCTGCCCGCCCAGCAACAGCTTCCCGAACAGTGTGCTAACGTAGCGTGGGATATGTATAACAAGATTGAGGAGTCGGCTAAGCGAATCAAGAAAGTCTCCTTTACTGGTCAAATGCTGGGCGACATTCTGACCCTACTTGTTCGCGGCAACAGCAGCTTTGATAAGGCGACTCAAGTGTTTACTTACATAGACAAACAACAGCATCGCATTCCCGGAACCCCTGCGGACAGTGCTCTGTTCGAGTATGTCGAAGCGAGCATCTTAAACAAAGCTCCCAGCCAGGCATTGATGGCGCTTCAGTACGCCGTAGAGAACAACATGGAAACGACTCCGCTGGCGAAGCGCATTTACGAGGGTTTCACGCTCAGCGAAGTGCATTTGGCGAAGCTGAAATCCCTAGTTGGCGAAGGATTTCTCACCAAATAAAATACAGTGAATGTTAATAGTAATTAAATTCGTTTTTATAATTTGCAATAAATATAAAATGTTAAATGCAAGGAATGCATTGTGTAATACTAAAATTCGACGTATTTTTGCTAGATCGTGAGATTACTTAGATATAAGACTAGTATCTGATGCAGATGGAGATTCATTCTTCTTTCGTCAGTGGCAGCCAGTTCACCCCATCGTGCGGAAGCTCACTGCGCACAAACGGCGACAACCAGGTCCAATACATGCGCTTGCCCAGCACCATTTCTATATTGCCACGCAAGCCGAGATTATACGCGTTGCTTGATCGCTCCTTCATTACGGCACCCCGCTGGAAAATAGGCCGATGGAAAATGAGCAGCAATGTGGACATGGCGAATGCCAAGATATTCAGCTCATAAATAACAAGGTAAAAGTTCTCCCAGCTGGCGTGTACAGTCAGACTGATAGCAGGCACTAGGATGGTCACTAATGTGTAGGGGCGCCAATAATAATCGGCATGAAGATACCAGAGATAAATGCTGGCATTAATTACAACGTAGAGCGCTCCTAGTCCCATGTAGAATAGAAAATAGAAGAAATAACGAAAATTGTAATGTCCGATGCAGCAGCAGGTGAAACGGCAATGATGATTCCGCTTGAGCACGCACACATCACAGGTCTCGCAGTGCCACGAACGTGGAGGTACCAGCGCCTGGCATATATCGCACATATGCCAGCGTTTGAGCAGATGCGGCTCCAAGGGTGGCTTCAATATATGCACTGAAAATCACATAATTAGCAATGCTCTAATTACGCAGCACAATGATCGATCAGCTACTTACTCTTGATAGAGGTATCTACCAGCATACAGGCCATCAGATTGGATGTTATATTGAAGACCAAAAAGATGCCGGCGAGCCAAATTGTTGTATACCAAAAACTGCCGACGTCGTGGAGCTCTGGCATAACAACTGTCACTTGAAATATGTACGTTAGTGGCACACCAACCGCAATAAGAAAAAAACATGCTGCATCGCCAATAGAGCGAGGCCAAAAAGCCCTATACAATGGTCGTAATATCATCTCTACGCCAATACACTAATCTAATTTTTTAGGACTTTCAAAATTTGTTTGACATGCAAGTGGTGTACTTTTAACAATATGTAAATATTGAATTTCGGCTAATCGATAGTAATATAGTATTTTTATTAAATATATCGATTATCGTCACAAGTGAAAACCAAAAACGAGAAAACTGTGATTTATTGTAGCACAATTCTAAATTGTATACTCACTGTATTATTATTATTAAATTAACACAATGTTCAAATTGTACATATTTTCGACAGTGCATTTTTTAAAATATATATTTATTTTTAAGAGCTGTAAACCCACTATGGCAACGGAAGTACTTCTGTCTGCGAACCTGTTACATATATGTACCTACATATGTATGCAATTTTTTTTCTTAAGTTATGGACAACAGTTGTCAGGTGTACGCCCTGCCTCAATAACTTGATTCCCTATTTGTCGCTTTAGACACATGGCTGAGAAATCTGCAGCAACTTGTTGCTACGCTACTTTAATGCCCCTATTCTTAGTTATTTAATACACAGCAATTTTCATTAAGTTAAGTGTGGCGGCACCCTACCTCATCTATGGTTACAACTTGTGAATCACCGTGACTGAGTCACTTATTTTCTGAAAGTGCTCATCTCTATTAAGAGCTATTAGCGCGAGCGTACACAAGTGAGAAGAAGAATAAGAAACAGAGGAGAGAGTGCGAAAATACGCTGTGTCGCTAATCAAAATCATTGAAACCATAAAACATTCCAAATGCTACGGTAGGAAATATCGTATCAGTCGTTCTCATTGCATTGCGCACTGAACACCTATAAATCCAGCGTATACGGCCCCAGCACAATGACTCGACAAGGTGCGCAGCTGGCATGCTTAACAATATTTTTATGTTGTATTCTGGAATTGACCACTGCTGGCGTCCCACTCAAGCGATACGAGGCGGTATTAAAACAACAATCTGCGCCGGTGGATGAGGAGCTTGGCCTGTACGATGACAACGATAAGGTGGTTAAGCTAACTGTGGCCAATTTCAATGAAACTGTGCTCGAACAGAATCGCGGCTCGCTAGTCGAATTCTACAATACATATTGTGGGCATTGTCGACGTTTTGCGCCCACCTACAAGCAGATTGCCGAACAGCTGAGCGCCTGGCAGGAAGTGGTCATTGTCAGTGCAATCGATTGTGCAGCCGAGGAGAATAATGGCATCTGTCGCCTCTATGAGATAATGGGCTATCCAACCCTGCGTTATATGCGCCCAGGCTTTCAGCCCAGTACCAATAATTATGGCTTGAAACTGGAGTCCCAGAAACCCGAAGAGATACGCAGCATGCTCGCCGCCATGGTGGCTGCCGAGAATCAGACCGTGAACAACACATTGTGGCCAAATTTTGCGCCTGTGACGGGAAATGAGAGTGTATCGGATCTCTTCGAGGGCCTCAACAGTCAGCGGCAATATATAGCGCTCATCTATGAGCCGGAGAATTCCACGCTGGCTGCCGAAACGGCACTATTCCTGCTCCAGTGGCCCTCCGTGCAGGTGCGTCGTTTCAGCGATCCAGCCGTTGCGTCCAAATTTAAGCTGGACATCAATAAGCAGCTGGCACTTGTGGATCGACAGGGAAATGTGAAGCTGCACACGCCGTCGACGCTGAGCAGCGATGCCTATGCCAAATCCATAGAAGAAGCGCTCTATGCTCTGAGTCTTACGCCCAGACCACTGCAGTCATTGAAACCTGACTCCCAGCAGCCAAGCAGCGACAGCCCAAATAATTCGCTCCAGCAGATCCTCAGTGAAGTGCAGCGCAATAAACATATCATTTATCAAGCCGATCTGGAGCAGGCCATACGCACCATCCTGCACAACGAGGTATCCAAAGTGAACGAGATCAGTGGCGAACGTCTGCTGGCCCTGCAGCGTTTCCTCGTCGTGCTGCAACGCTATAATCCTCTGGGTACCAAGGGACGCCAATTAGTGGCGAAGCTGAAGGATTTCGTTTTGCAATTCAATCAGAAGTTGACGGGCAAGGAGTTCGAGGATGAGATGCGACGTCTGGAAACGAAACTGGGTCATGTGTACTCAAGCACACAGTACGTGGGCTGTGCGGGCTCCAGTCCGCAATTCCGTGGGTTCAGCTGTTCGTTGTGGACGCTCTTCCATTTTATGAGCGTGCAGGCAGCGGGCAACGAGGAGTCGCAGGATCCGCTCGAAGTCCTTCAGGCCATGCATGGCTATATCAAGAACTTTTTCGGCTGCACCGATTGCAGCCAACACTTCCAGGTGAGTCAGACTCTCACACACATTTGAAAACACACACACACATACATTTTAGATTAGCTTGGCCTACGTGTATTATTATAGTACACGCTTTCACTATGAGATCAGCGCTGACCTCCGAGCTGCTGAGGGCGCCGCAATAGAGCTTATATATATGTATATAGGAGTATTTGCCTAGTCATATATCATATATGTATAAATATATATTGTTTATATATATAAATTACTTTAGAAGTAATTCGTTCACGTTGAATTGTTGTTAAACAAGAACTTCTGGCACAGCCTTATAGGTATATCAGAGAATAGTTTGTTTTTGTTATTTTTGGTTTGCTTGACTAACAACAATTGTTCCGGACTGAAGTCTTTCAGATAAGAGAAATAGACAGTTTGAATTTGTTTATTCTATATATGTACATATATTATTTCATATATTAAACAGGACACGGATTGATATGAAATTCTAAAGAAATACATATGTACTAGTCTGAAAATGCTTCCACCTGAAAAAAAGTAATTTAGTTTTAAGATGCATATGACCTCGCCTGCTACTCAGACGAACTTCATAAATATTCGTTAGCCCACAAAACCTATGCAGAAGATAAGAGACTCAATGAGAATATCGCAACTCATGTTGTGTTCGTATTGATAGATTACACTCTTGTACTTAAAGTTATTAAAGACTATTAAGGAAAGGCGCATTTAACTGTATTATATATCCATGTACACTAATGAACAGCACGTATTACTCATTATACTGTGCACTAAGAGCCAAACATATATCAAGTCAACAGTTACTCAATAGACTCTAACACACGATTATTATATTAGCATATTGAGCGTACGCTAAATTAAATGAGGAAATGGAGGAAAAAACAATAGATGCATGAAAACAAATTTCTATTAGAGAAAAATATCAAATATTTAAATATACAGTATGTCCATTAATTGTTTGCAAAACAAAAAAAGTCGTACGAATTCCACTTTAACAACATATGTATATTATTGGGAAAGGTACTTTTTCTAAGAATCTTTTAGAGAGATGCAGATCTCATAATATTAATGTTAGCATTTTGCAAAAAATTGTTAGACAGTCAATATTGGCTGATTTTTTCTTTAATTATTTTGTGTTTTTGTTGCTATTCTTATTGTTTTTGTTATTTATTTTCGTTAAGAATACATGAAACAAATCTTGGATAGTCTGTCTTGATAACCTACATAGCTGTCTAGTTCTTGCTAAATATTTATGCTGATTAGCCATATACAAATGTGGGGTCAAAGAACTGCAGCTATAAAGAACTCAGTATTGTTAATAAAGTTAAAATTCTTTACTTTATGTATATAAGAAAATACATTTCAGACTGGATTTAATAACTTGCATATTACGCAATTGTTAATTATCCAGTGTTTATTATTTTTTTTTTATATTAACCCAATTGACCCACAATGTTGACTTAGCTGCGGCTGTTTGTATTGACACAAGTGTATTTAACGAGTTATCCAATTTTTTGTTTCAGGCAATGGCAACACGTCGTAAAATCTGGAACGTTGCATCGAAAGACGAAGCCGTGCTCTGGCTGTGGGCAGCGCACAATGAGGTTAATCAACGTCTGGCCGGCGACGCCACCGAAGATCCGCAATTCCCAAAGCAACAATTTCCCAGTGCCAACAGCTGTGCCCAGTGCCGCAATAAGCCAGCAACCGCATCGCAAGATAATCTGTCAATTGACTGGAACAAGGATGCGGTCCTCAGTTTCCTGAAGAACATTCACAATCCGCAGTTTGTCAGTCGCTTCGGTGTCCAGCGGGCGGAGCTGCTGCACGAGACGCTGGACACGATGCGCCAGAAGCGACAGATCTCAAACGTCTTCTCCGACATGGATATGCGCATGGGCATGTTTTTATATGCCTTCTGCATTGTTATGATGGTGGTGGCCTTTAAGCTGTTCGCCTTCAAAGGCGGCTACCGCAAGAAGCCGTACGGACACGATCTACTGGGAAAAGTGTAATCAGAATCACGTCTTTCTAGAACAACAAACCACACCGTGGCTTAGCTTCGATTCTCAAAAAGACAACACAACTAAACATAACTAAATCTAATAACGAACACCTCTAATGTTCTTTTGTATGTAATTCACAACTAAGTTTAAGTTGAATGTGTGTATGTATATATCAATAATCTTCCAGTTGTATATCCTTTAACATAACGAAAGAAAACAAATCGCTTTTATAAAATTACGTATCAAAATATAAACCTGTTTGCCTCTTTATATATAGGTATGTACATATTTGAAATGACAAAACATACGTACGATCTTTTATCTGCCATTCAAATGGGAAGCTCTCCGGTAGTAACCAAACAATGTACAACATATGTCTTTGGTCTTGTCGTCTGACTTGTATATTGTATACACGAGTGCATCATATGAGATAAGGTCTCTTCAATGTCCCATAGAAGTTCATATTCAATCACCCTATTGTTACAGTAGCGACAGCATTGATAAAGATTTTGTTGTTCTGAAAACTGATATAGCTGACCCTTAGCTGACTTATGGACCAAGATTATATCATAGAATATTTAAACACATATCGTTATAGTTAGGGATATTATTTATGTAGGGCATTCTGCTAAGGCAATGCTAGACTAATCCGACATCCAAACCCAGAACAAATTCATCTCCATCACATAAATGTATGCACACATTTGAATACATATTATATTTCGAATTTTATTTAATAAACCTTTTGAAATCTGGATGCCACCAGGGCAGAACTTTGTACTTTTCGATTCGTGAATATTTAACAGTGACACTCAAACTATTGCTACTGCTATTGTCCTCGATAAAGTCCAACTCCAGGTTCTTGGCCCGCATATCCGTGCAGAGCAGCTCGCGTGTAGCCTTTAGCCGAAAGAGCGACTGTTGCTGATTGTAAAGCAATTGTAGCGGCAGTGGCACAAATTGTCGGCACAGCACAATCAGTAGAACAACACCTTCATGACGATATGAGGATTTAGCTGGGCCTGCAGATAGATCAGTATCCCCTGCCAACGCTTCCCAATCGTTAACCACTTCGTTGTCCGCCTCTGCCGGTCCACCTTCATCTTCGACTAATCCTCTGGCCGCTATTGCCTGTTGGTTTCGCAGTGCATAGCATATGACCCACAGGCATTGATACTGCTTCTGGGAGCAGGACATAAAGGTGCGATGTAGTAGCCAGTCCACGCTGTAGCCCAACTCCAGGCGCGTTTTCAGTGGACTATAACAATGGTAAAGTGCTTCAATAACTTTAGCACGCAGCGTTTTCGTATCACAGGTACGTATTTGCTCCAGTTGCAATTGGGCAGGAAGCTCCAAGTTCCAGCCCTTGGCTGTACTGCCCAAGCAATAGCGCTTGTACATATTGCGCCAGAAGACTCGAGAGCTCACCAGCTTGGCCGTCTGCTTGCAGAGTAAGGCAAAGGTTTGCACATCTTCCGGTTCCAAGTGCATGGCTATGTGAAACCAAGCATCGTGTCCAATATCAAGTGTGAAACTATTGGCGTTCTCAGCCATTGCGGAAATTGGGGTCCTCGCATTGGATTTCTGTTTCAGCTCGACGTATACATCCGATTGGCATGCATAGATTGCTGCGTTTTGAAAGATTTAACTGTTAATACTTAAATATATAATTTAGAATATACATTACAAACCGCATTTTCCACGACTACGATACAATTTTTTATGAATGTACTGTTCGCTTTCATCATCTAAAGTCATAATTTAAAATTTCTGTTTGCATTCCGAGCAAACCACTTGTTAAGGGTAGCCCCTTGATGAAATTTTATGTATTAGGAGATAATGCAAATTATAATTGTGATGTTATATAAAACTAATATTTTAAATTGCCATATTATAATTTTATATAAAAGAATTGAAATAATTTTTAATTGCATACACAGCAAGTTACAGGAGTAACCTTTTTTATTATTAACTTTTTGCTGTGAAATTAATCAACACTAAATTTTGTTATCGATAATAGCCGAGCAACTGTCACTGCACGTTGTTTATAAACATTAAAAGATTTCATTAGAAATGCCTATAGATTGCAAGGCTAAATGTGGCAACCGGGCCAGTTTAAAGGTTAGTTATGCCATGCTACAATAATATTTAATATTTTAATCGATATTTTCGCAGCGGCCTAAAACCGGTGATGCTTTGTGCAAGGCCTGCTTTTTTGCCGCATTTGAGGCTGAGATTCATCATACAATTACTACCAGCAAGCTTTTTAGACCTGGCGAGAAGGTTGCAGTGGCCGCCAGTGGTGGCAAAGACTCAACAGTTCTAGCGCATGTGTAAGTCTTAGGCTTAGGTTGCTTTATAGCCTTGCTAATAATCTCTTCAATTTCAGTTTAAAATTGCTCAATGAGCGCCATAATTATGGGCTAGATTTGATGCTGCTTTCCATTGATGAAGGCATAACAGGCTATCGGGACGACAGTCTGGAAACGGTTAAACAAAATCGCGATGACTATCAAATGCCACTGAAAATCCTATCCTATGAAGAGCTTTATGGCTGGACTATGGATCGAATTGTGGCGCAAATAGGTCGCTCCAATAATTGTACATTTTGTGGCGTTTTTCGTCGCCAGGCTTTGGATAGAGGAGCAAAGCTATTGGGTGTGGACAGCATTGCCACTGGCCATAATGCCGATGACATTGCAGAAACTGTGCTAATGAATATTCTGCGAGGCGACACAGCTCGATTGCGTCGTTGCACGGATATTCGAACGGGCGGTGGCGAGGACTCCATACCCCGAGTAAAGCCACTCAAATACAGCTACGAAAAGGAGATAGTCATGTATGCGCACTATAAGAAATTGGTTTACTTTTCCACCGAGTGTGTGTTTGCTCCAAACGCATACCGAGGACACGCGCGAGCTTTTCTCAAGGATCTGGAAAAGGTGCGGCCCTCTGTTATAATGGACATTATTTATTCGGGCGAGCAACTGCGATTCAAGGATACCGTGAAGAAGCCCGTACGCGGCAATTGCGAACGCTGTGGCTTTGTCTCCTCGCAGCAGCCATGCAAGGCATGTGTGCTCCTAGAAGGACTTAACCGAGGGCTACCCAAACTGGGCATAGGCAAGAAATCAAAAGGCGATCGAATGATTGCTAAACAGAACCAGGAACTAGCTTTAAGAGAACGTGCTAATCTAGTAAAAAACGATTTTTAGTTTCAACTGTTTCTTTATTGAATGTGTTCACATTTACAGCATATTGCCATGGATAAGCATTTCCAACACTTCCAGCACCTGAAAAGGAAGACGAAGTATAAGTACTTGCTCAAAAAGCACACAGAAGAGTTATTTTTATAAGAGCTCAGTGCCAAATTATTAACCATGGTACATAACCGGCTAAGCAAGACTCCCTTACATCAAAAGAATATTGATGAAGTTTGTCAGCGCTTAACGTTTATATGCTGTCAGTGAATGAATTAAGTGTTCATCATTGCAAATGAAATCCGATGAGAGCATTTGGTCAAGCAATACTAACCTAAATTAGGAATTTTGCTCCACGTTGATGTATGGCAGACAGCCTAGAGGTTTGCAAAGAACCGTTACATGATTCTATAACCTACAAATAAAATTCTTGGTTAAAAAGAGCTTGAAAACAAAATACAATATCATTTTAAGGAAAATTTCAGTTGTTAATAACAGTTGGAATCACATTGATTCATTTGAGGTGTCAGAAAAATATATATTCATCAGACTAATTTTAATAATATTATCCTAAAAATATAATATCTCACCTTAGTCCTTTCAATGGCATTTCAGCTACGAATACACTGATAATGTCCCATTTTTCTGCAAATAGAAAAAATATATACATATGTAAGCAAATTTGAAATGTATTCATAAAGTGCTGTATTTCATTAAAAAAATGTCGGCTTCACGAAAAAAATATGCACCGCAAATTCTGTATATAATCAATTTGGGTTATGCTTGGGCGAAGCGCATTTGCTCTGCGAACAGAAAAAAAAGCACTAGCTAAAGTGGAGATTATCTTTACACCAGCGACTCAAGTTCGCATGATAGAAAACTACATAAAGAAGAATTATTCTTACCAATTTCAAATTTATGTATGCATTTCAGGGCCTGCCTTAACCGGCTATTGCAGTAACAGTTCACCTATAAAACAGAAAGACATCATTACAATTGAAATCTTAACATAAAGACAAAAACCTAAATTGTACAGCCGTAGGAACTTAACCCCAAGCCACGTGACTACAATTTTATTTGTAGCTGACTTTGGGTAATTTTCCTGTACTCAAATTTGCTTTTGCAGCTTTGAGTTCTGTAAAAAGGCTTAATACACACTTATCACAGTTATATTTGCCGCTAATATATATTTTTTTTTCAGCGTCACAATTTACCTACATTTTCAAGATTCAACTGAGCTATGCAGCACGTTCTCCGAACAGAATAAAAGTGACGGATGTTGGCAAAGTTGGCTGCATGACTGCACCACTTTGAAACAGAGTTGCATATTTACTTTATAAATTAAATTGACCGATACATTTCGATTAGTGCTTAATGCGACCCTGACTTCACACATGCATGCCTGACAATTTATAACTGTTCTTCTCTCAAATTTCGTCTTGGTGTGCGGTTCTCAGATTTTAAGAAATTTAGTTTTTTCTTTGAACAGTAATAACGCAAAATGTCTTCGTTCAACTCGCCAGATATTTTGATGCCACTCGGTAATATAGAAATACAAAACCACAAATATTAAAAATAATTTTACAAAATACATCTTATTCTGAAATCATAATTTTGTCTAGACGAATATTACGACCAGTGTGTTGTGCCTAAACCGAGAATTCCAAAACATTATGGGTTCCACGTAGAAAAAAGACAACGACAAGCGGCTCGTTTGCAATCTTATAGGGATAACCCGGAAAATGATGAAGACGAGCTTGAAGATGAGGAGGAAGAAGAAGAGATAGAAGGGCTAAATTCCTCCATGGAGGATTCGAATATGAAGCAAATTTCGTTTGAAACTAATGACTTTAATAAGATTTATGAAGAAGCTGAATCGCAAAATTCCACAAATAATGCAGCTCAAGAGCCAAAAACGGAAATTCCGGCTTCTTCGGCACAGTGGCGCATAGCACCAATTAATGTGAATCGTCCCCAAGGAGCTGCACCTTTGGTACCAATGGATGCTCCGCGTGGTAACCCAAAAGCTGCAAGCTCCGGATTTCATGATAGGAAACATAAGAAGCGTCGCTATTATTGCGTCAACAGTAACAATAACAATAGTAAGCAAAATAACACGAGTACATTTAACCGTAATAATTCTGTACACAGCCGTCTGGGCCAAATGTCGAACCGCAATCAACAGCGTGGTAAAAAAGCCACGGGTCAGTGTTTGCGGAACGCGTACAATGGATTCAAAAATAAATCAGAAAATAACAGAAAAAACAATAATTATAACAATAATAAGAACAAAAAAAATAACAATACCAACAATAATAAGCAACAACAGCAAAAGGTATTAATGAATATCGATGGTCATTTTCCGAATAATCGCTCAAAGCTTATTGAGAGCTCCTCATTAAATTCGAATCTATTTGCTAGCTCAGGCAATAATCTGAACAAAAATTGTTTTCAATCCTATCAACAACAAAGCAACGTCAATTGGCAATTGGGCTCCAACTCGCTAACTGCACTTATAAATTCAGCTAATCAAATTCGTCCTTCCGTTAATCAAGCATCGGGAATGCAGAGTATTAATAATAATAATAATATGGCCAATATTCGTCCTTCCGTTAATCAAGCATCGGGAATGCA